AGGAAACTGGTGCGAGCCACCTTAATAAGGTTTATAAAAATGACTGCACAAAACAACCATAAGTTGGATAAGACATTTAATATCTATATTTTTCTATTTTATTACTGGTGTAAGAAGATGAAGGAAGTTTTATTGCCTCCTCTCTTTCTTTAAACAGTCTGCACCTGCATGACCAACATTAAGTTAATGCTTCAATAAATTTATTTTGTTTATTTACACCAGAAATAGTTGATTACTTAGTGAAAAATAAGTGTCTCAGAAACTTGTCAACTATGAATGAGTGAATGTGAGGTTGATGAAAGCAAAACATGCTTTTTGAGTGAGGTTGGATTTCATCTCTGTAGTTTGCAGGTGTAAATTTTAAAGGTGCATTAATGAAATACATTCTGTACCAAGAAACTTAAATTGGCATGTTGTATATCATGTTTTTTTTTTCATGATATGCATCTATGTCAGGATTTTCAAACAGGGCTTTCAAAATTTAAGGCTTTTTTTGGAAATTTGTTTTGTAGTGAGATAGCGTAATCTGAAATGCCATAATAACAAAACAAAAAAAAAGAATTATCAAGTTTTCCAATATGGTATTCTTTTGCTGCTCAAGCCAAAGAAAAAAACATATTCAGTTAAAAGACAATTTTGCATACCCCTGGTAACTAATTGTAAGCAAGTAGGTAAATCACAAATTCAGTTACAGTTTTTGATATTTTTTTTATTTTGATTTAGAATTTGTTATTGTTTTACATTTCACATTTTAGAAAGACAAACAAACTATGCATCAAATAATTGTAATTAGGTTGTTTTAATAAAACTTTTAAAAAGAATATCTACAAAATTACTTTGATGTTCTTAATAACTATAAAAAAATGCAGCAGAATATTACTTTTATATTATAATTTCTCAACAAAACAAAATTAAAATGAATCCATATATCCCAATTTTATCTATCTCTAAAAGGAGGCTAACATCTGATTTTTCATATCCATAGTCCAACAAAATAGTATAATTTCACATCCAGTGTTTACTCTTAGACTAGAAATTGGTCGAGGAGGGTACAGTTGGCCCCTTACTTCGTGGGGGCCCAATTTCAAGAAAGCGTTTCCCAAAAGGTGTTTCAACATACTTTGAGAGTATAGTCAGTGACAATTCAAAGAGGGTAATTGCAACTGAGATAGTGAGAGGCTATATACATGTAGCAGCTCTCATATCGATTTTGCTATCAATTATGTTTTGGAAAACCTGATTTAAAAAATACACTAAAATAACAGTACAAAAGCCATGCTCTGGAATAAATCCTGACATCAAAATTTCCAAAAACAGAATTAAATTTATATCCCCAAATAAAATGTATTCTCTCATTGAATTTCAAATATGTTACAAATTCAACCCAAAACATATCAATACTTCTCTAAAAATTATATTGATAAAAAGTATACCCTAATGTAGACATGTATTTCAAGATTTGTTGTGCTCAAGGAAAAGTTCTCTTGGATTAAAATAGAAATGACTTCTTTACCAATTATTATTTAAGAAATGAGTTCACACCTGTAAAGTAGTTAGTGCCATTCCATACCCGGCATTTTGCATAGATGGCATATCCATCCATTTTCCAGCCCTTGTATCAAAACATTCAACTGTATTCAAATTTTGCATACCATTAAATCCCCCAGCAACATACAAACAATTTCCCAATACACTTGCACCTGCACTACCTCTGGGTGATTTCATGGCTGGAATATTGTACCATCTCCCTTCATGTGGATCAAACCTTTCAGCTGTATTTAGCCAGGACTGGTTGTAACCTCCAGTTACATACACTGTACCTGAAAATATTATTACAATTCTTGTTACTGCTAGTGAATAACTCTGGACCATTTACAAGTTAAGGAAAATACAGACAGATATTAAGTGCAACCATTTGCAAGCAAGGTATGTTTAGAGGGGGTGGGTAGGCATACATACAAGGTGAAGTCAGAGGGGTGGGTAGGGGGTACTTTTTATCACCCCAAGCATGCCCATATGCTGTGGGGTGAGGTGGCCCTCTAGGTTTAGGGTGTTGTTGGTTGATGTGAGGTTACATGTACACTTACGCCTTCATATCTTGCCTAAATATCAGGATAAAGATAAAAATAGGGGGGAAAAGGGAAATTTAAAAAGAAATCTCAAAACATTGTCAGCCTTCTTGCCAAGTACTAGATTATTTACTTTTTTCGTGAAATCTGACATCGTTGAAATTCATGTACTTATTATGCTGTACCTTCTTTCTGGAATGCACCAAAATAAGCTCTTGGTTGTGACATGGTTGTTACAGACAGCCAATTTCCACTCTGAGGGTCCAATCTCTCCACTGACATTAAGCAATCATTCGATAGATTTCCACACTCTCCACCAAATCCTCCAATAGCATACACTGTTTGTCCTATTGCCAAAGCACCAAGATAACTCCTTCTTGAAATCAATGTCCAGTTGTCAATCAGAGGGTCATACATCTCAACAGATGACAGATACCCTGATGTTCTTTTATAACCTCCAAGAACAACAGGGTGGGCCCCTGGGAGAACAACACTAGTTCCCATTCGTTCCATGTGCAATGGTGATAAGTGACCCCACTTGTTTCCAGGCCATTCATAGTGCTCTACTGAATCTAACATATTCCAGGAAGAATGGCCGCCAACCATCATAAATGTGGTGTTCACTTGATGCCACACCCATGAAGGTGCACTCATTATTCATGTTGGGTATTAGCATGGCATCACTACACCCTCCTGGGATTTCCCATGTCCAGCTGTTGCACTTGGGATTGAAGCATTGACAGCTGTCTAACGTCAAGCCGTCTGATTCTCCTCCAATCGCCAGCATGACTTCATGGCCAGTTCGCAAAGAACGGTGTGAAATTCCTGGAAATTCACCTACTTCTTGTAAATTTGTGGACTGCATAGTCTCTAGAGCTTCTAAAATAAGCTGCCGGCATTCACAACTAGCTTGCACAATGGAATCTGTTTGGATTCGCCTGAGAAAGTCGGGTGAAATCTTCATCACACAGCATTGATTAATGAGTGAGGAGGCGTGGTTTTGGCGCTTTACCGGAGAGAAGTTAAGCCATGCCAAAACACCGCTGGTTACTTCGTCTTCGCTTGACGCGTTAAGAAACCTGCTATTTAACAAACACTTTAAGGATTCATAAGGCTGTTTCAGGAACTCATCCTGTTTAGCCAGGTCTCCAAATTGGTCAACAACAAACTGATGAGCTGTCGCGAAAAGTTCTTGACAAGAAAGAGTTTCGGCAAGTGATCGAATACCCAAGCAGTTGTAGACATTTGAGGCTTTGAGAAAAAATTCACAGCAAGCTTTTCTAACCTTCTCAAACTGGAGAACAGCTGATGCGTATAAAAGTGAATGCACGTTGCATTTTTCTATTTTTAACACACCAGTGTAAATAAACTGTACCAGCATTTCGATCGTCGCTGCGTCAATTTCGTAGATCATGATGCGATGTTGCTGGCTCTCAGACAAATTTCTTAGAAATATGGCTTTAAAGTACGGACTGGACGCCGCCAGAATCACCCGATGGGCGGGAATTTCTCTTTTTTCAACGCATAATAGGACGTCACAGAGAAGCCCATTGTCACGAAATTCTACCAAGCACGGAAAGGCTTTGTCTTAACTGTCACGGTTGTGGTAAATAAACGGCTTCTAAGTGTTTTGTTCCATGGTTAAATGCGTAGATCACGGAAGAAATCGATTACTTATCCACAGCGCATACGATTCACCGTTCCTACTTTGTTGATGTATCCTATGTTTATCGTGGAGATACAAACAGGCACTAACAGATTTAGCACGTAACCCAAACAGGTGATGCGCCTCACTTATCAACTTTGAACTACAAATATTTTGTGACGAGTTAGGAAATTTCAATGCGATTTAACGTCAAGTTTTGGTGCCCACTACATTCATTACTGCAAAATTCTAAACGACCTTCTGAGGTGATTCCCTAGCAATAGTACTAGTGCTGAACAATGATTGGCTCTCAAGTTCCATAAGCCAATTTGTGTCAAGCCG